TTTTTTAGCACTCTATTTAGATTGCTCTCTGCTGTAAATAGGTAACTTAAAAAAAAACTAAAAACACATCGATGCTTTCGTTCCGAATGTTTTGGTTTGCATCGACATTTTCATTCAAATACACCTTGTTGGATAATATCGAAGGTTTCTTTTTCATTCGATACCCCACAATCCTTACTCCAAAGCAGTTAATAACGTGTTCCCTAAGTCTAAATGCCAATATACACCACTGCATAAACTTATTGAAAAGAAGTGTCCGGTTCGCAGTACAAAATCTGACCACAAAGTGGCAGCATTTTCAAAGATTGATGGATGTAACCACCCTCCCCTCTCTTAAAAAGGAACTGATTGGGGAAATAATAATGAGAGAACAGGGCTCGGCTAATGCTGAGGCTTGTCGGTGCTGGTCGGAAAAAATCAATACCTGTTAACCCCTTATCAGTGCCCTACTTTATGAGACCAATTCAGACCTCATTGCTCACCCCGTGCCCTTATAAATCTCAGCGTTCATCCTATAAAGTCCCATCACAAGGGAGAAACACCGACATTTAATTTTGCCCGTATTGAAACGGCTGTACGCCGTATGGACCTGAAACCTCAATTTCCCGGTGCAAGAAATACCTGTAAACGCACGCGGGTTACCCGTAAATATATCTTACAGTCTCGACTTAAAGCCAGGGATTTATTTCAGGCTGATAGGGCCAAGTCGGCGACCCGAATGAGTGTTTTTGCACCCAGCACAACACACAAAGTAGTCCATCGGACCGCTACTGGCTTGTTGTTGTCTTTGTTACGTACGTTTTGTTGTCCACCAGCACTTCCGATCATCGCGGTTGGCTACGTATGGTGGGAAAGAAGTTCCAAAATACGTCCGTCGAATCCACTGAAAATATTCGGGGCTAAATTAAGCCTGGGGGTGGGGTTAAGGCTACCAAGCATCCGAGTTTGGCCGGTACAGTCCCGGTTTTAAAGGCTGGCTTTGGCGAAAAAACGGATTGTGTCCAGGTATCAAATATTCCTTCCCCGAGTAGGTTGTGGGCAACATCAGAAAGAGCACAATGGATCAGCAATGTCGCCACATTTATTATTTTTTATTAACGTTTTCATTATACAACCCATCGGCTCCACAGCTTTCTGGGAGCGAATGTTAGCAGAGTTGAATCAGGACAAGCAAACTATGGACCGGTTTCGACATTGAGTGTCTTCATCAGCAAGCCAGGCTTGCTTTAATCAATGCTGGTGAACGGCCAGATGGTATAGGTAAGAACATTCTCTTGAAGATATGGGTCCTAATCCGAAGCACATTTATAAAATACATAACTCAAAATAGCGTCGTTGTGGAGAATATATATAATAAACAAGATAATCAATCTCCATATATCAGAAAGAGCAAGGCTCACACTAATTGTGGGTTAGTGGCTTGGGCCTCCCAGGAATTCGATAGCCTTATCGAGATTTAATTTCCTCTGAATTTCCTAAACTAGAAAAAATCAGAATACTATTTATACTGGAGGAACCCGATGAGCTATACAACTATTTTTCACAGATGTCTAGTCGATTAAAATAGTATATTTACATATAATTTTAAATACACACAAACCGAGCATGCATACATTTTAGACGTTTATTTGTTTTTTCTTTGCACAGAACTTAAATGTTATTCCCTATCAAGGAATATTGAAAAGGAAAAAACCTGTCCTTGGTGGTAACAATGACAATTTCAATACAATAATGTAGTTTTTGTTTGATAAAAAATGAGTGGCATAATCGCAAATCTCCACCAGTGAAATGATGGTTGCAGGTCTGAGCATGCGGGCATTGTTTTGTTGTCAAAAATAGAGTACTTGCTCACTCCACTGCTAGAGGACGAGCATCAACGAGACGCAGCTCTAGGGAGCCCCTCGAGAAAGGTAAATTTGGTCCACACTTCCACGTTGGTCTTGTTCGAGGTGGGAGTACTCACACTTTACCACCACGCCCGCACGTAACCTGCATATCCACCAACTCTCTGCTTCACGTTTACCAATTTATAGACCCGCTGCGTGGAGAGAGGTCAGGAAATGTCTACTGCCACGCAGAGAGGTTATCTGGATCGCTTGTCCAGCGTGATACCCATCACACCGTGGAAGCAGACCACCATTCCCCCACCGCCCCGAATGATAGGATTTGCATCGAGCACTTAAACACCATACTCACAAAGACCCCCCCCCCACCCCCACAGCCTGTAACAGACTGTTGGAGCAAGTGCTGTTAGCAAGTGCTGTTAGCGAGCACCTATGAAGGGCAGAACGAGGGGGTGGGTGGCCAGCACCACGCCCGGCCGCCTTTGTCTCCCCAGTGGCGATCTTTACTACACCGCACCAGGTGCTCATTTGAGGCCGAGTCGACCGTGGGGAGGCCCAGGACCGATTCAGATAATCGTCGGTTAGCGCAGCGCGCTAACCGCTACACCACCGCTCCCCGCCACTCGTGACATCAACGGCGCACGGACACACCCAGGCGAGAGGGGCACCACCGTCTCTCACAGCTCACACCACGCCACGTCTCTCACGCTGGGGGACTGCGCCCCCTGCTGACAGTAAACCTTCAAAATGGGACCTTTAAATTTCGATTTAAAGCTTTCGTGACTGCAAGGATTCATCTTCTTTGGTTCTTTCGGTAAAGTCACGTAGAATGAGAATAAAATAATAATTGTGTTATTTTATTTTATCAATTTATTATTTTATTCTCATTCTACGTGACTTTACCGAAAGAACCAAAGAAGATGAATCCTTGCAGTCACGAAAGCTTTAAATCGAAATTTAACCGCCTCTACGGGGAGGGATTCCACACAACCTTAAGATCATTCAACATACTCCGGGATAAGAAGGCTCAACTAATCGAGTCTCTCACCTTTCTGAAGAGATGCCGCGACTCTAAGGTAATACCAACCGCATTTACACTAACCTCTACAATTCCTTTGTCAAGGCGCTTTGTTTCTTCTCACACAGCTTAAAAGTCGGGATCTGAGCGTGGCTTTTTCACCCCAGCGCTGTCCTCCAGACAGTCTCGTCTCTTCACCTGATGAAGGCCGCTTGTGTTGTGGCCGAAACGTCGTGAGAATATTATTGTGTTATTTTATTCTATCAATTTATTATTTTATTGTCATTCTACGTGACTTTACCGAAAGAACCAAAGAAGAAAATGGGACCTTTGTTTTACCAGTATCAAAGTATGATAAAATAAGAATAAGTTTTACCCTTTCTGGCAATAAAACTGGTGTTGAGATGTTCAAACACCAAATAGAAAAATTTTGCAAGATTAACCACACACAGTACTTGTGGTGAACATGCAAACAAAAACATGGTCTGATAATATTTGCAGTGTCCTAGAAACTAAATGGTCTACAACCAGAGACAGCCTTCTTTAGAGCTTCGACTTTTGGTGTTCTCTGGTCTGACACTGGTGAAACTAGGCCCTGAAGAAGGCCGTCTCTGGTGTCGGCCAATCCGTTTCAAAGACAATGCCTCAGATATTATCAGAGCGTGTTTTTGTTTGCATGTTCACCACAGGTACTGTGTGGTGGTTAATGCGAACTTGATTCCTTGCAAAATTTTTGCTATTTGATGTTTGAACATCTATACACACCTGTTTTATTGGCAGAAAGGTGTAAAACCTATTCTTATTTTTCATGACATTAAACAGTTTTACACTGCACTTGTATCCAGAATACAAATACAATAAAAGATCTGTACGAGAATGGTACTTTGCAAGAATGTTATATTGCTACATGAACCACAATGTAGCCGTACGCAGTCCAAATCTGCACAAATATACAAGAGCGTCTTTATTTTAAACACCGATGCGACTACCGTCAACCACAGATACTGGGGAGAAAAAAAAATCAGTCTTAATTACCAATGTCCTTAACACCTACCCTTAAGCTTAAACAATCAAGCCATGACCCCTAATCCATAACTATAACCCCTAATAGGGTTTTATACCTTTTACACCGACCAAGCACGGACATATCTCAGTCGGTCTAGGTTCGCACCTCCTATTAGCACGGTTGGCTACGTACGGTGCAAAATAAAGTTCAACGTACATACGTGTCAACACTGCAGTGTGTGCTGCAATAAACTTCAACACAAGATCACCACGAGATATCGGTCCAAATCAATACCCGTCACTCAAACACAGCCAGCAAACATAACCCCCACCTCCCCCCCTTTAACCTAGACAAACACGAAGGAAACGGTGCGCCCCCATTAATATTTCATCAATTTAATCCCATGAAGCTCTGCGATTGGGACGAAAAAGCTGGTCTACGCTTGGATAAGAATCTGTAGGGATAGAAGTTGCAAAGAATCGTCACATACCACCCCCTCCCCACCACTAATGGTGGGGCCGTCAGTCAGCAGTCACTTCTTTTCTAACAATGCTGGTAACGTAGAAATAACCAGCAGCCGCGCAAGCCACCCTCCCGCGAGAGCATTTCACGGCATTACGTGAAAACTTGCTACAAATTTTGATACCGACATCGTCGTTTCCACCGTACGAATTAAGTTGCGCTGGCGGCTGTGCCGGGCACATGCGGCGAGCGGCTCAGGAGCCGTGCCACCGACGTCACAATAAGCAAGTTAAAATGCACGCAGATGACGCGGGTGCGTGATGCCTTGGTCCCCACAGTGTGTCATGACCGATTTTGGACAATTCCACAGAGGTTGCAATGTTATTAATCGACATGTTATCAGTCAAACTCAGGATCACACACTGACGAACGGCGTCGTCATTTGCCGTGCATCTTGGCCCTGTGCTTGGGCCCAGAGTCAAGATTCAGTTGTATTGCGAGGACAGGACATCAGTTTGGTTCCGGGCTCAGCACGGCAAATCGCCGGTGGAAAACCATCTGCGCTGTGAGCCTGCACTCTGTGCTGGCTCGTGTAACAATGGGGGGGGAGGGGGAAGTATATATCCAGGAACATTCGCCAAGCAGCAATAAGCAGAACAGCACGAGTATAAACATTTTAGGGGGTTATTTATTTTTTTGTAGCATTAAATATTTCAATCAACTCTTGGTATCGTCTCGGTTATCACAACAGGTCTGGATTTTACTAATTGCACAATTTACACCAAAAAGTAAATAAGCAAAACTGTGGGAAATTTTAAAAAGTAACCTAAATTTCAGCCCCCCCCCCCCCCCCCCCCCCACCTACAACTACGGTAACATTACAACAACGTTTGATTCAAAGCAGCTACGTATAACTCAGTGCAATTTTAATCACATGCCGCAAAGTATTATTTGAAGAAAACACAACAACACCACGAAAGAGTCTAATCTTAATCTCACACAAATTGAGAATTTGCCAGGTCCGGACTGAAATAATGTGTGTGTGGGGGGGGTAATATGCACGTGAGCGACTCATGTCGGTAAAAAAAAAAAATGACAAAGTAGACAAAGTGAAAATTCACATCCGATTAACCTATTCACACATTTCGTAACGAGGAATGTTGGGAGATTCATATTTTGGCAAAGCTCTTGACTTCAACTCGTCTTCAAAATGGTGCATCTGACAAATGTTTACAGTGTTTTAGCATCGGCTGTAGTTTTGCTAAATATACAAGACAAAACTGTAAGAAGCAGTCATAATTAAACCGCATTACAGTTGTTTGCACAATTAAGTATCCAAAGTACATGCAGGTTTTGGACAATTCCAGAGGTTGCAATGTTATTAATCGACATGTTATCAGTCAAACACAGGATCACACAAGTTCATGAAAACCCGACTAAATCCCGGATTAATGTACATCTTTATAAAAAAAAAATAACATCGGCAAACTGATCAGAGCAGCCGTCTACAACTGGAATATGTACAAAGTAAAAAAAAACTACACCATATAATAAACCCACGATATGCTGCTCTTCTATATGGTCCTTGTAAAATAAACGCCACAATTCCTGATTGTGTGCAGTCAGCCGACAGACTGAAGAATGTCGGGCCACTTGCACCGTGAATCTTTCTAAGCATTGGTAGAAAATGCATTGCTTTTATCGCAAGTCACCGGGTATACCCACCAATGGCCTAATGCTTAACGACAAATATTGTGCAGTACATAGCACATCCGCCCTGACCGAGTAACCGGCCACATGCAAATTGATATTTGTGGACATTGTCATTATTAACTTTAGACGTTCACAAATCTGACCCGTTCACATCCAGTTACGTATTCTTAATCTAACAATATGCACGCTCACTTCTGAAGCACGGTGCAGGATTTGACCATGTTTAACGCTGTTTGCACTTCATTCTTGTTAAGCGACCTATGCGTGAAGGGTGCAACTCATTTTATGGATGTGAATTCACATGCCCGACTTCACCTTGGACCCCTAGCAAGTCAGATATGCGACCTGCTACTCTACTTGAGCAATTAATTTCACAGTTACTCACTGTGGGATTTTGCTAAACTGTATTTTCTTTCCCAACATAAAATAGAAAGATGAAAATGTACTCTATGCATTTAGAATTTTAATGGATTTTAAAAATCCCACAAAAGATACATTCGACAGCGAGGTACTTTTTTTTTTATTAAAACATTCTAACAATGCTAACTGCAGATTTAGCTTTTTGTATAGCTAACAAGCTTACGACAGAACTAGGAGGCCACCATAGTAATACTAAGGCAGCAAATGGGAGTGGTAATAATGAAAAAAACCGAACCATGGCCTTTTGTAAGCAAACATCAACAAGTACAAAGCTATAAATGTTAATGGTAGGAAAAATGTCAGTTTGCCTTTATCTGCAGCCCATGGTGATAGCGAACACGGAAAAACAAGCTGGCAACATGATGCACCTCATCCATATTCCATGAGCAGTAGGAGGAATAACAGTTTATACTCACAGGTAGAACCAAACTTAGGGCTGTGATCAACATAATTCAAAACCACAATGACAGCGCCTGTATTCCGAATTTAGATGCAAATAGCTTTTCTAAGTGGGGAAAAAATGCAACCAGCTTTAAATCGAAAAATACAATAAGTTATTTTTAAAGTCTTTGTTTACTCAATATTATCCCAATTGTGCCATCGGCGTAATGTCTTACAGTGCACTCCTTTGTACGTAAGACCCACGTAAGCGGATATCATAGAGCTACCTCTGACGTCAATTCAAGTCACCTCTGTTCCACACAAGTCAGGGGGCAGGACATTCTTCTTACAAGTCATGTCACGAGCAATAGTCAACTCATGACAAATATATTTTTGTCAGAGTTTTAATTTATGCACATTAAGTGCAGAACCACAGTTTAATGTTTTATTTTTGCAGTTACTGGTGACTGGACTGAGATTATCAACCCACGACACACTTGATATCCCAGTTTTTATCAGCGGTGGATGCCCATATTAGAAGCCAGCATCTCAGCGGTGCCAGCTCAGAATGTTCTGACCTCCGCCAACTGTCACCTATTACCATAAACATTAAAATGTTATCAGTGATTTAGTCTTTTTTACATGTTCCTTGAAACTATATTATTTTGATAAAAAAAACACATTGGGCATGATCAAACGTACAGCACTGCATTTCAAATGATATATTTTACATAAACCCTGCCATAGAGTTTCACTAAAAGAACATACACTTTCCACGTGTTTAATTAGAAAAAAAACTCGGCCTCTCTCCCCTTCAGTATAGATGCAATTATTTTACCAATTAGTGGGATAAACAGACATTCTTCTGCAGTTCGACAGCTACAGCTGACAGCATGCATCATAAATGGTGGGAGGCAGTCAATGGATCAGATGTGCATTGCCAGAATATTGGTCATAATCAGGAATGAACCAACAAAAGTGCTAATTCATGTTAAATTGCCATCAACCAGTAAACTTACCATGGCAAGAACAATCTCACTCTCCTTCTACTGCGAGTGGCATAGATAAAAGAAGTAGCGTATGTTTCCCTAGACCTGAGCAAAGTCAGAGCTACTGTGTACAAACAATAGTAACTTATTGGCTTTATTTATGCAATTCAGACGATGTTTTCCCCATAGGCAATCAAGGTGTAAGGAAGAATATTATTGTGTCAGTCGCAATTGGGATCAGCGTGAAAATGCGTACGTAGTTTCAACCAGGTCAGTTCAATATAACAATGGGTGATGGCGCTTTAAAAGTAGCAACATGATCTGCTCATAAAAAAAAAGTAGTCGCCACTTGCCACATCATCGCTCCCATTTCTATGTTAATTTCTATATTAAACTGTAAGACCTTGGAGGTGAAATAATAATAATGTACGATGGCATCAACAAATATTTACTCGTGTTTTTCCCTGCATTGTTTATATCGGCTTTGCAAATACAATTTTAATAGATGACAAAACAAGCTTGGTCATGATTACACAAAGGGTGAGTTTGACACTTAATGAGAGGGAAGGGGGTTTTGGCATTTACACAGTTCAGATTCACTGGTCTGCAGCATGAGAAACGGCTTTAGCTGTGCTCAGGAGGCTTGTGAATGGGCTTGTCGAAGAGCTCTGGACAGTCCGCCTTTCCGCGCGCAATGTCGTCGCAATGTACAAGCAGGTCATAGTTAATGCGATCGGTGATGACGCTGTCGTGCCTGTACTCGGGGTGAGCGCCCACAAACTCGCGCAGCCACCGCGCCATTGTCATCAGCTCGCCTGCGGGGGAGCAGAGCACCCAATGGAAGCGGCAGCCGTTAATGATATTGCATTCCAGCACAGTAAATGGCACTCAATGAAGCTCATCCGTTATGAGCACCACCACCCCCCTTCTCCTACCTTCCCCTTTCCGCCTGCAATGAGGAAACAGAATTACGGCAACTGCTTTTATCAAATAAAAATGGCATTAACCCCGTCACCCAGGATTCCTGGAATATGAGAATATAAATTATTTACAATTGCGATGGTTTAAGTCCGATTGCCTTGCAGTTAATCGATAGCCATGTGTGCCTAGACGAAGTCTTGCAGGCTGCATGCACAAAGAAGAGAGATGCTGCCAACGTGAACTTGCCTGATGCCCGCTTGCGGATAAGCCTTAGGTAGTTGTAAATGCTGCATCGTGTCTCCACATCCACTTCCATATTCTCGAGGTAGCTGTTGATGATGGGGATGAGACCAGGGAAAACCCCCTCCTGCACACACACAAACACACACGCGCGCAAAGTAACACCGCACCATATGCCACTTGGCTCCAGATTTAATTATTTACCCAAGCACGACATCCGTTCAAAGTGCATAGCAGATAAAACTACGCTACAGTACATTACATGCTTTTGTGAGATGCACAAGGTCATGCAATGTTATAAGGTTTTAAGTTCATACTTTTAGCAGCTTTCACAGAGAAAATTTTTAAAATACAAACTCAGCTCATTTGCCAATAACACGGTGGCCGTAAAAAAAAATATATATAAAAAAATAGGCAACGTTTCAGGCAATTGTCCTTTTGCATAAGTGTATGCATTGTGAAGAAGGGCTATTGCCCAAAACGTTACCTATTATATATTTTTCCTTTTATGGCCAGTGTTATTGAGGAACGTGTTGAGTTTGTGTATTGTGCACCACTACTGGTTGTGCTCGAAGCAGCATCGACAAATAAGTTGTTAAACAGAGAACATTGTTACGTCATTTTCACAGGGGTTAATGGCATTAATGCTCAAAAGAATGCTGTGTTAAGTGAACATTGCGTTCTGGCGAAACAGAACTGTTGTTCTCAGTCGGTCATCTACGAGCCTCTCACCTTCCCGTTGATGATGGTGTCGACACTCATGAGTATATACGACTCATCCTGAGAATCTGTTCCATTGGCACAGGGTGGACAGCTGTCCAGTACTGGGTTACACACTGGATGGTAAATGGAGAGGGGGAAAAAAAGGAAAAACTCGAAGCTTCAATAACATAAAAATCCATCAAAACATTAGGATGATACATTTGAGAGAGACATGTGCCGGACAAGTATTTGACGAGAATGATTTACACTTGCCTGCCCCAATGTCCTTTCTGAAGTAAAACATTTCCTGGCGTACTGCATCCCTCTTCTGTGCCTTCTTCATATTTTCATCGACCTGTTTCACAGAAGAACCAGTTTCACGTGTGCCACTCGGTGCCACGGCTACATTTAGGAGACATCATTAGTTCCTCGAGTTTGAATCATTGCAAACGTCTGGGATGTTTAAAAAAGCACTTTCTCACGCCAATTTATTTAATGTAGTTTCTCAGGTATGCACATTTAATCGGGAAATATTATTTCCTTAATATGGGGGGAAGACAACATAGATTTAACGTGCAGCGAGTTGTCTAAAAGCAACGCACAAAACATTCATAAGAGTCGGGGGTCTATTCCTTAACACATATACCAGTTTAATATCATTGCATGCAAACTGCTGTTTTATTGTTGACATATTGCTAATGCTGGCTTGTTGATTATTCTAGTTTGCTTACATACATAACACAGCAATCATAACGTTTAAATACGGTGAACAATATGCTCGTTTGAATTTTATCTTGTACAGTATAGAATTCTCAAAATAGGATTTGGCCACCTCGTGCATATCGTCCGTTGAAAGGAAACATTTTAATTTTTCACGCCAACCTGCACCCGGCATCTCAGAAACGACGAAAGATCTCGGGACGCTCAACTAACAATTCACTTTTACCTGTGACAGGAGTCAATGGGACAGGACACACATCACCTTTGAGAGTGGGATGAGGAAGTTGAGGTTGTAGGATAGAATAACGCGCGTGAGCAGCACCACGAACACCACGTAGGCTGAGTTTTCAAAGTCCGTGAGTTGTGCCTGTGTTCAAAACACCCCCCGTTTATCTTCGTGCATTAATCACGCAGCTTAATTAAACCAGATTTGGGAAAAAATCACGTGTGTAAGAATTGCACACGCGTGGATTATATAACGCTTTCCAGCAAGAGTTTTGTCTTCCGGAGTATTTAATCAGTGGTAAGGAAGTTGACAGGGCAACGTTAATTGGTGTATTTGCAAATAATTTTAAACTTTTGGGGAATTCGGATGAAACTGGTGAGTTTTCAATAAGAACAAGAAAACATTTTACAATAGATTTTCTCATTTGGGATCACCTTTGCTATTGTTATAGTGCCCCTGTCCTCATGGTAGAGATGGAAATAGCAAATGTATAAACGCTTCAAGCTTAGAATGAAAGCGTTAAAAAGCTTAAAATAATAAGTAAACTTATTTTTAAGATGATTTAAATGCTGCACAAATGTTGTTATCGGATGTACGTTACTCAAAGCAAGCACGACTGCAATTACAAAGCATCAAAATAAGTGCGATTAATCCAAGATTGCCCTGGTTATAAAGGCCAAAGATCCCCCATTTAGCCTTGACATACTTTTGGGGAAAGTGCTGATAGAGAGCACCAATGTAGGCCAAGACGACAAACGAAGGGGTGGGTGGCCAGTACCACGCTCGACCCGCCTTGTTCCCCCAGTGGCGATGTTTACACACCGCACGAGGTACACAATTGAGGCTTAGCCAACCAAGGGGGAACCGCCCAGGACCGCTTCAGATAATTGTCACCAAAGTTGGCCGTGAGCGAGAATCGAACTCGGGTCGGCGGGTTCGTAGAGCAGCGTGCCGACCGCTGCACTGCCGCTCCGCATACATGAAATGAGAAAGTACTCGAGTGAGAGTAATTTACCTCCGATGGTCGGAACTCCACACGCCACCCAATTGTAGAGTTTGGCGGGGGTGGCTTGAATCGCATGGTTTGCCAGTTTGTTGACTGAATGTTCTGCAACACATGCGATGAATTTTGATTTAAAGCTTTCGTGACGGCAGGGATTCGTATTCTTGGTTCTTTCGGTAAAGTCACGTAGAAGGGAATCAATAAAATAATAAAAATATATTTGTAATTAAATAATACAAATATATTTGTATTATTTTATTGTTTCCCTTCTACGTGACTTTACCGAAAGAACCAAGAATATACATGCGATGAAATCAGCTTAGATCAGAAATCAAACTCCGTTAGCGTGTTTAATGTGCAATTCTTTATGATAATCCCACACGTAAAAAAATTATCCCCATCATTATCCTATGGCAGGTCAGTGTTTTCCACAAGTACTCAGTCCCCGTTAATGTGTAGACTTTGCAATCATTCACCACCACCAACTGGAAGCCAGGTGCATTACGTAAAGCTCGGTCATTTATTGCAATGGGCTAGAGTGGCGGTATTAATGATTAATGCACTGCACCACAAAACCGATTCCCCAGCCAGAGATAACACCAACAGTGGATGATATCCGAACCGGTGTCAGGTGCCCCACCCCCGCCACCCCCTTAACCGACCCACACTGGTCAAAGAACCCCTCCCAAACAACATGCTACGGTGAGGCTTTCATCCACCAATGGACTTAGCAGGAACAAATTATCATCTCTAGGAGAGAATAAGTTGATCTGCAACGGAAAATGAGAGCTGTCACTTTCTCGCGCTTCTCACAATCTTCCTGTACTCTGAGCACGAATATTATTCCGCTGTTTTACGTAGTAGAATGGCAAGGTAACAGGTATCGAGGTTAAAAAGATAGATATTCTCTAGGACTTAAAGAATATTCTGGCGAAAGAATGACATTAATAGGAGCAAGCATTTTTAAGTTGATAAATTTTCAAGAAATCGTGTCAAGCTTTTGCATTCGTTACTCAGCACCTCTTCGGTATCGCGATATATTATTTATTAAACGTCTTCTGAGCTTCCTCCGCCATTTAAATTCAACTCAATGTTGGCTCGACGTATAATCCCATTTAGCCAGTTACCCAGCTAGTTTAGGTGGAAACGGCAAGCAGCCACGAACAACAACCAAGTTACTGTTTGGGGTGAAGAGGAACCCAGCCAGCAGCCAGCCAGGAAACTCGATGTAGAGATTATTTTTAATCATAGGAGGATTACTTAATGCGATAACTCAGTATATAAGTAGTTACAATGAGCTGGTCAGGGCAGTGGTACCTCAAAGTGGTCGGACTCGTGCTCATCATCGAGGTAAATCTTCTCCTCAAACAGGGTGAGGGGATCCCGGATGAACAGGTGGGCAATGTGCTGAGCGAGCAGGTGATCGATGCCTGTCGACAACACGGAGAGAGAATGAATGAATGAATGAGCGAGTCCACAACACACAACGCTTCACCTTTACTTTATTTTACTTGCAGGAAGTCACAGCGATGATACAGCATCCATTTGAATGCGTTTCGACTAAAGTTGCAAAGCGTTCATGCATTAGCTGTCAGTCTGTGTAATAGCGGGGAGCGGAAGCATAGCGGTTAGCGCGCTGCGCTACGAACCCGGCGACCCGAGTTCGATTCCTCCTCACGAAGAACCCGGACAAAAATCCACGCGACCACGGGGAGAACATGCAAACTCCCAAATATACAGGCGTCAGGGTTGGGATCGAACCCACGACCTCCTGCATACCACTAGAGGTAGTTAACATCCCGCCACCGAGATGCCATGTGCACAAGCCTCCCGATCACGTCATTATATGTGGAGTCATCTCTTGGTGTCATGCGCCGTGTGACAGTCTGGTTTATGGCCCGGAATGTCAATTTTTTTGTGTCAAATTAAATGCTTCCTCGGACAAATGAGTATTGTAAAGCCTTAAGGAATCTATGCATAACTTTTAGTGGTAGTTATATATATAAAATGTAGATAATGTGGCAGAATACTGCTCCAAACGCTTGTGCGAAGTGCTTATTTTGGAATCTTGATGTTGATGTTTGTATAAGTTGGAGATTTTCAAATGTTTTTATATGCAATGTTAACAAATGGAAACTCACTGCAGAGAATGGGCAGCTAAAACAAACTTTTTGGACATGTTCACAACCTGTAAGCGGAATGATGTATTACTTAAGACTATTTTACACAAAAAAGACCCATGGTGTAAAAAATAAGTTAAATGTAACAGCCCTTATATTCGCGAAGCAAATCTACTTAGCTTCTGCTGCATTGTAAATCTCAGGTGCGTCTCAAGCGAATTCATTCGGATTTCAGGGTAAAAAAAAAAATAAACCACTACCTCATTGAAAAACCAGCAACATGCTTCAGCTGTTGCTGTTGAATCGCAGCAATCCGATTTCAAAAGGCAATCAGTGTTTAAGTTATGGTCCTGGCACAGCTTCACTATTGCTATGCAAAGTCTTACCAGCATCCAGCAGCTGCTGGTAAACAGCCTCATCCTTGGTCAGCTCGATGTCGTTGTACTTCGCTCCGCACTGGGAGAGGTAGCTGTCGATGGAGTCGTAACGCGATTTGCTGATGCGGAACTTGCACGTTTTTAGGGGCTGCAAAACAACAACAAAAAAATCAACAAGGCGAGCGCGATCGTCAAACTGTCCCCACCGACTTTGATGCTGCACGTACGCTGCCATTTTTGTACCATTAAAGCGGTTTTACAATGCTGCACTTTCAAACGCAACAATGCCCGTAACAACTTTAAAACGTTTAAAAAGCTTTCGACAATTGGAAAGAATTCCCCATAAAGCTTTTACAACCGACTGCACCGAGTGACCATATACTTCCTGAATACACATTTTAAAGGTCGTTAAAGCCTTGTTTCCACAAATAAACGGTCCAAATGCGTTCGACATTAAAACATTTCAACGGTTTGAGTTATTTGCCAGTGGTGACATTCCCAAGTGAAAAGAATGTGCGATATAAGTAAAGTTTGATTGAAGACTGAGCATTGACACAAGGCTTCTCACCATATACATTCGAGAGGCTTATAGTGGGGCAGGGAGTTCCGTATAAAAAAGATACGAGGGTTCATGAAATGTTTTAATGAAACACAAGCGCTGCCTAAGAAGCTTCAAAAACAACAATGCGAGTAAACTGCACAATTACAAATCTGTGGCATTTAACAGCAGGGTACAGCACTGTATTATTTTCATTACAGTTAACGATATGGAGCCTTCATCTTAAAAGGTTCTCAATAAAATACAAAGGGCTGAGATGCATAAACCACCTTAGGTGAACCTTAGCTTACTTTAAAAAAAGATCGTTCCCCCCCCCCCACCGTACCCCAAGATAACGTAATTTTATGTTACTGGTCATAAATCACTTTTAATACAACGTCATAAAGGTAAAAAAGTCAAGGGGGCAGACTGCAATGACTTGCTCATGTCACTGCTAGCAGAGGGACCCCTCCACTCGAGACTGTCCTATAGAGCCCCTTGTATAGGGTATCTTGGGCTTGCTCTTTCACACTGGTCAGACACGTCTTAAAAGCGCAATAGAACCACAACCACATTTTGCAATGCCTTAGCATCCATTACCAGGAACTGTCCAGAATAACTAAACGGCAAATTACCTTAAACTAAAGAAAATAGATCGCACACTAGTTGGTGCTTTCTAGACAATTCATTTATGATGTTAATATACTTATTTTTTTAGTATGATCTCTAGCTGGGGATTTTTTTCTCATCCAACTTCTGCAAGATGTAAAACTAAGATAATTTTTAGGAGAGCACTGGGTTGGCTAAGGGGTCACATTACTGAGCTCTCACTGCCGAGCATCCCCTGTTTATATCAGAGCCACCGCCCATGATTAAACAAGATTCTCAGTTTTGATTTAAAGCTTTCGTGACTGCAGTGATTCATATTCTTGGTTCTTTCGGTAAAGTCACGTGACTTTACCGAAATAACCAAGAATAAGAGTCTCAGTGTAGCGAGCTACTTACCTCAGCCTGGTTACCAGTGACTGTGGTAAAAAAACACATTACATAAAATTTCGGTTTGCACTTCATTTGGTAAAATCCTAGCGCCGACAGCTTTAAACTGCCACACCAAGAACATTTTATTGTTGCAGGGCTGCACCACCTTGTGTGTGGAAAAAGGTCACTGAAGAGATCTCTTAAGTAGTTCCATTTATCGCCTTCAGTGGGCCAACAACACATGGGGCAATGCACTGCTATGTGAGAGTTCCAAATGGATTCTTCGCCTCGTGATGCCAACAGCACGATTATTGTAGGAATGGGAAAACATGGAGCATTTAAAAATATTTTCCAGACCCTCATAATAATATTTTCGAAAGACTATGAGGACCTCCTGGAGAAACTAAAGGAAGGCTACTTTAATTATCAATTAAATTGGCACATTGCGTCACACCTCCAGGCCTCTCTCCTCTCGCGTGCGGTCATCAACCGAAGCCGAGATGACGCCCCACCGGCAGTCGACGTCCGACACATAGCCCCGATAGAACGGGGCAGCAGCGCTGAGAGCCATCTGTGTGGGATTGGGGGCGGGAGTGAGAATTGCTAAACAAACACAAGGAGCAGAGGCGGCACGGCAGACACTCCCACGAGGCGTAGATCATCTCACAGAGGCGTATATCATCTCACAGCCGTAGAACATCTCACAGAGCTGTAGAACATCTCAGAGAGCCGTAGGACATCTCATAGAGCCACAGGACATGTCACAGAGCCATAGGACATCTCACAGAGCCATAGGACATCTCACAGAGCCATAGGACATCTCACAGAGCCATAGGACATCTCAGAGTCCACAAACGAGAAACGTATTATTTTTTGCCAGATATCATGTCTTCAATTCTAGATGTATCTGAATGTGTGAACAAGATGGGTTTAAATAGTATAAGAGCTGAATGATGCTAGGTATGTTATTAACCATATTTCTACTAAAACTCTTCGATTCAAATAAGTGTGGTTTACAGATTTTAATATATATTTATTTGTATGTCCTTCCGATAAAATCTATACTACCCACAAAAAAAATAAAACCGTATAAGTTACATATATTGACAACTAAATGCCATCCCAACTGCAAATATGTTTTCAGTCAACATATGCTACATGCGATAGATTGTATCCATTTATACATAATTGTAATTGGAAAGTTACTGTACAGATAATGGATCGATATGATACCAGAAGTGGCTGATAAAAATAAACAATAATTTTTTTTAAAGTTTCGAAAATGTCGTTAAAATAAATGAGGTCTCACACTTGTTGTCTATGATGAAATCACCCGTAATACGTCCCATCTCAGAGCACTTAATAGAAGCAGGTTAGAGTCTGGAATAGTGCTTGGATGGGTGGCCAATATGCATACAACTGGTGTTGTAGGCTGCCGATATGTTGTAGTGGAACAAAATCCATCATTGTACTGTACTATGCTCAAATGTATATGCTCCCGCCTTCAATAATCCACATTGACTTACATGGGAAGACCCTCATCTAGCAGTGGATTAACAATAGGGCTGAACGTGCTTTGCAATGGAAACAGTGATTGTCTCTAGGCGACTTTATTTAATAATTGGTAGCTGTAGGTATATTAACGGATACATAATATTGGAAATCACTCACCATGATGGGGCAGAGAGGTGCCAGCTGGTCATACAAATACCTCGCTTCCGCTATGCTGCATGCCTGGAATGTTACCTGGGAAGATTTAAGTAGAACATTAGCACGGTTTAAGCCTACTTTGCTGCGACTTCAAAATCTAAAACAAAACATTAAGCCAACAACGACACGTGGATGAATTCAGCAATTCCAAACCGGACAGTTTTGGGCAATGAGATACGCCGAATAGACAAACCCTGACTTCATTCCAAGGAAAATGCATACACACGCACTCTCAAGACCGTTAACGGTGACGGACCTGTAAAAAGGTGCCATTTGACAGTAAAAGCGACCTGAACTACTCCGCCAAGGTGCATTTACAGTTACCCGTAAAGTAATGTCAGCAATAGGCACGCGTCGCCGTCGGTAAATGTTTAATGTTGCGCAACATGTGAGAAACGCCGTCGTGTTAGCCCTGGAATGCCAAACAGATCAGATCTAACCCAAGATGTAAATCGTACATCTGCCAGGAGCGAGTTAGTTTCAACCACAGGTGGACGAGACAGTGGTACCTGCAGACAACAGTTGCCCATGCCGAAGCCCATGGCGTCCATGTAGATGTGGTTGGGTTTGGCTGCACGTGCCGCTTCGCCATCGTCGTTGGAGAAGTGGTCAACAAACGGCGATGGAGTCTTTTTGTCCTTGAAAACTGCCATTAAAAGACCGAACAAAGACCGATTAGGAAGATCCCTCGGCACGAGCTGTGCACCCGAAACAGTGAATTACGCTCATATTAGCTTTTTTTTTTAAATATCAGTTGCTCAACACAGCCCCAAAAGGAGCAACATGCCAAGCAGCCAACAGCACTATTGAAGGTGTAAGAGATAATTAACATTTCTTGAATTGAACAAGGTGAAAAGAACTTTGCCATAAAGATGATGGGAGGGATGAGGCAGAAAGATCTGTTGCGGCCTGCAGTGTGGTGGTTGAGGACAGTATGGTTGAGATGAAAGAAAGTCCTTAACAACGGTGGAAGAATCAATGAGTGAAGTTCACGGTGTAAAAAATATTGTGCAAGATGCTGACATTTTTTCCATTAGATTGCAACGAGAGATATGTTGGCCCATTCACAACTATTCAGAACCGCAACCCATGCATTGATTGTTTTTCTCCTTCGAGTTTCATTGTTACGTTTGCGAGAGAGAGGTTGGGCTGGCTTCGCTTGAAATATCATTTTTAACAAATCAATAATACCTTTAGTACATGGAGAAAAAGGGTGATAGATATTTTAACTTACACTCCATTCCACTTGGGATAAAAACAAACGAATGCTTTGTATACTAAAATAACCCATAACACTTAGCTGCCAGACTCGCAGAACACTTTCAGCCAAGAGTTACACGGAAAAGTTTCAGACCACTTTGCCATACAGCCCATTCACCACGGTTCAAAAAAATCATGTACTTGACACATTTAGCATTTTAACGTTATGGATTCATTCCTATATTTAGAATTCGAATGGCCACATTATTCAATCGTGAAATCACTTTTTGACATTAAAGGTTACTTCAATAATTTTCAGTCTGTTGGAGAATAAAATACCTCAAATACCTACTTGGGACATTTATCACAACTTTTTCTCCACGTCTGTGTCGAATGTTTCTTGTCAGCGTACTGTTGAGCAGAGAATTTAGAAAAGGACAAAGTCTTATTACCATAATTAGCACTGCAAGCGATTAAAATAAGGCACAATTATTCACAGGAGGCACATTCTTGTAAGGATTAAATGTTATGTAAAATGTAAAAAAAGAATAAGGTGCAGTCCTGCAACACCCTGCTCATGCCACTGCTTTCAGACAGGCCTGTACTAGAGGGAGCTCTTACAGAGCCCTTAGAATAAGGGTAACTAGAATACTCATCCACGCTGGATGGACAACTTGAAAGAGGTGGCAGTAGTCATACTTGGCCAACCACATGCTGATCAACTGACTGTGGTGTAGCCTTTTATACTGCTGGATGAAAAGAGGAGGGGGAGGGAATTTTATAAATCAGCTCATTGTTTCAACTGCAGTGCGAGGAGAATCAACCAGTGACCCCTGGTTTGCAAGTCCAGTGTGCCGACCATTACACCACATCAGCATCCCAATAAAAACGTATAAACATGCAAATTAAGTGCGTCTAAATTATTAAAATGTTGGAAGACTGACTCATCACCAATTAAGGTAATGCCTGGGAAATCATTCAGAATCCTTACCTAAACCTGGGGTGCTTGTTGATGGCTTGGTCAGGGAAAAAGAGGGACTTGGAAGCCCCCGCTTCATCTTGCTTGGGCTCAAACTCGGGCACCGTGAATCCAGGACAGCCAAGTCTGCACCAACACAAATTACACTGCAATCTGAGCTTGAAAACACACATTTTTGGCGCATAGCGTTGGCTCAAAGGTGTATTTTTATATGCATTGTGTGATTAAGACGGACACTAACTGGGTAGTAAAAAAGTATATACCTTTTAAGGCCTTAAACTCTGTGCTGTGAAGAAGGGCCATTGATTTACACATTGCCTATTATGTACCTTTAAATGTCATAAAAGGCATTAAATAGTCAATTTGGCAAAGAAAGTGTCAGATGGCGATTGAACGGTTACAATGATGCACAAATTAACAGGGCACTGAATGCCAAAACCAAATCAAATAGAGCAAGCGTTGAAACTGACCAGGCATAATATAAGAATAGGTTTTACCCTTTCTGGCCTACACCAGTCTTCTCTTTAGGGCCTAGCCTTTTGGAGTTAACTGGTCTGATACTGGTGAGACCAGGCCCTAAAGAAGGCCGTCTCTGGTGTAGATCAATCCGCTTAAAAAACAATGCATATATTATCAGAGCATGTTTTTGTTTGCATGTTCACCAAAAGTGCATGTGGTTAATGCAGACATGATTCCTTGCAAAAGGTTTCCGTTTGGTGGTTTAACATCTTAACACCTCCTGTTTAATTCCCATAAATTTTCCATGGTGTAGCTGACCAAGCAATTAAAACTATTAAAATACCGTACATTGTGGGATTTGGCATGGGACATACAACACAGAAACTACTATCAGGTACTAAAGATGTATTACCGAAGCTATCAAGATAAGGTGTGTACCAGATTAATTGAACTTGCTACAAATTCTATGTTGGTCAGACAGGACAAATGATCAGCATGAGAATAAAAGAACACCAAAGGAATATTAAATACTCCCAAATAAAACTGTCGACAGTGGCAGACAAACGCGTGCCAACAAGGACACTCAATTGATTTTTGAAGTTCTGTGAAAATTAGTTACTACTGGCCAAGACGAGAGAATATAACGAAATTTAGAGAAATAAAAATTGTAACCGTTCGGATAGCTACAGGTTTAGTGCTGTTTGGAAGCGAATCATCAAGTGATACATTCTTTAACTGCATGCCTATACATGTCGATGGTGATTAACTGTGAGCAGGCAACAGGTACTGCGATTTTCGTGCACGCAAAAAACAGCAGGATGTACAGTCAAAATGTGCATGCATAATGTACGCTGATTACCCGATGAATAACCCAACCGGTAATGGATACCCATTGTAATTTATATGCATTCGATAACCCCCCTCCCCCTCTGGCCTCCACACCCGATTGGCTCACAAGTGATGACATCACATTTATCCCTCAATTTAAGAATGAAACAATAGCATATACCCACAAATCTGGCTGTCGCCTGAGGATGCTAGTTGCAATTACTGTCGAAACGTCGTACTCGAATTGTAGATATTCTGGGTTTACGCTCCAACACACCGGTGTGCTTGTGTACTAGTCAAGAATTGGCATGTTCTGTTTACGTGACAAACCTTGCTAATTGGCTGTGTCAGGTTGTGGCGGGTTTAACGACACATTTATATTTACATGATATAACCCAAAAAACCTACGTTATGGATGATAGGCAATGTGTCAGGCAATGGCTCTTCTTATTACAGTAATACCTCAATGTACGTATATTCAAAAACCAATGTTTTGGTAGAACAAACGTTTGATTATTTATTGTTTTTTACACTGAAAGTAACAAATTTAGTAAAAAAATAAAGACACTGAAATTAATAAAAAAAATTAATAAGAAAATTATGTTTCTTCACTGCTTTTATGTTAGTTAGTTTTTATTTTAGTACTGTACAATATAAAATATATTTTTGTTAAATATAAATTGTCTTTCATTTACAAAATGAATGATAAGTTATGTTTTTATAGTATTAAATGGTAAGTTACGAAGGCTGGGAATGCATTCTCGTAGTACCAATTTTACATGCATTGAAATATTTATACGAAGTTTCAATGTTTGACCAAAGCGCCAGGAATGCATCTACTTTGTATATCGAGGTATTGCTGCATAAACTGTTCCTTTTAAGGCAGTGCTATTGACAAATCTACTCTTTGGTTCTTTCGGTAAAGTCACGTAAAAATAAAATAAGTAATAGAATACGACGTTTCGATTGCCAAGTCACGGAGAGCTTGCATTCACGGAGAGCTTGCATTCATTCATACCTGATGACGGTTGCTTATGTTGCAATCGAAACGTCGTATTCTATTCATTTACTTTTCTTTCTACGTGACTTTATCGCAAAAAACAAAGAGTAATTCCTGCAGTCACTAAAGCTTCAAATCAAGATTGACAAATGTGTTGAGTTTGTACCTGTACACCCCTGCCAAAACGCAGCAGCATCACCAAATAACATGTATAATTTATTAGTGTCACTCGTCTCAGCACTGCCACTCGGATGACACCCGACGCCGACCTGGGAAAGGTGGTGATGGAGAAGATGGTCTCATTGCTCCGCAGCTGCGCGAGCACCTCCTTGCGGCGTAGCCTCATGTTCGACTCGACGGTGTTGAAGTCGGCCATGGTGCATCCGTACGGCTGGCCCGGGGTGCCTTCCACCATGTAGCTGCCGTACTCGGGGCGCCACAGCGACGGGTGGCTAACACGGGAAGATTTTCACATCAGTTCACTTCGACAATGGCAGCGGTTGGTATTCGCAGAGATGCCGGCGCAGGGCAGAAGGGAGCAGGACACTGCACGCTGAGGATGGAAGGATGCGGTGGAATGAGATAGGAGGGCATTGGATGTGACTACAGAAGAGGCACAGAATGTAAGCACATGCAGACAATCAGAGCACCCGAACCGATGCATTCATCACACGCTTGATCCAAATGAAGTTGGAAATGCAGAAAAAACAGCGATTAACATTGAATAAAACAGATAGTGTATCTTTTTACAGTTTAAAATACACTTGCATTCACAGTATTTCTTATCTAAATATAGCCAATGCTATTATGTACACTCCAAATATTAAATATTTAAAGCAACGCATATTCAGAATGCACGTTTCAATGAAAAATGTGTATAAATTAAAGTACTACAACGTAATTGTTAATTAGCAACATAACTACTTCTACGCTTTTATTACCGCGTATTGAACAGTGTAATGCACTTGGTATGAACCTTGATTTAAAGCTTTCGTGACTGCAAGAATACATTCTATGGGTCTTTCGTTAAAGCAACACAAGCAATCGTCTTCAGGTGAAGATGATTGCTTGTGTTGCGATCGAAACTTCGTGATATTTATTATTATATTTCTATCTATGTGGCTTTACCGAAAGACCCATTGAATATGTACTTGGTATGCTTCGCATTGGAGTCAGAATTAGACGTCGATTTCCAATACATATTGTGAAAATTAAGGTTGAAAGAAGGGTCAGCTGTTTCGAAATTCCGACTTAAAAGCTGGCCACCTTGCATGTTTTAACACGTTAATTGCGTAAACAATCACTGACGAAATCACCCTTTCACGTAGCAAAGGGTAAGAAACTCACTTCGGATTAACATTCTCGCCAAGGGCTTGCAGAGTTTCCACTACGTCTTCCCCTTTTAGCAAAACGCGTGCCCTCTGAGCACTGTGGTCAAACGCCACAAGAATGTACTCCACCTGAAACGTACACACGCAAGGGGGACGGTGGCGAGGAGGGGAAAAAGACAATGAGCGCATTCCCATTAGAGGTGTGAGAATTAACGGGATCTCAAAACGACGGTGAGCAGTAAGGCAAGCGTTCTTTCAACGAATACGTGCAAACACACTAGTGTGGCTATGAGAGCATTCTCGAAAAGGGACCGATTTAGATATAGCCTGCAATATACAGAATGTATGAAGGGCACTTTCCAAATTGATCATTTTCGATAGATATCTAGCACCTTGCATTACCATTACGCACAGTAATTGAATCCCTTCATTTTTGTTGTCTCTCATAAGCATTCCATTCGCATGCTACGCATTTGTACGTATACAGTACTTTTTTTTACAATGCCAATTAAATATTAATGAAAACATGCCAAGGCAAGGGCATTCATATTTATGGTATTTTCAGGAAACAAGTTAAACAATTTTGATTTAAAGCTTTCGTGACTGCAGTAATTCATATTCTTAGTTTTTTTTTCGGTAAAGTCACGTTGAAGAGAAACAACAAAATAACAAAATATATATAAAACAATAAAAAATTCTCACGACGTTTCGACCATAACTCAAACGGTCATCATCAGGTGTGTCGGTTTGCATAAATTTATTTTGAAAACGGCATATTTATTTATATATATAAAAATAACGTTTGCGTCACGCGCAACGATTGGCTGTTTGCCAGGACTAGTCCATCTATTTTTTGAAAAGAGGAGGGGGGAGACGAAATTTGTTTTTATGTATGCTGTCTGAAAGCCACTGTAAGCGTGAACAATCAATCAAGAACTGAAATGATTTATCAAATCTTTCCAATGATTGCTAAGATAGAATCCATCTTCTCGGTTGAAATTGTCTCTGTGTTTGTATATGTGGATAGCCTCATGAACGAATCTCTCATGGAAGCCAGATGGCTTACAAAGAACCTCCGTCTTGGAAAAGTCAATGGCATGTGAGCCTACTGAATTAGAACAATGATCTGCTACGGCCGAGGTGTTGGTCCTACCGTGTTTAAGATCTGCTTTATGTTCACGAATGCGGTCCGAGATATGGCGTTTGGTTTCTCCAATGTAACTACTACCACAGAGGCAACTTAGTTTGTAGACACCAGGGTATTGTATGTCCGGAATCACATCTTTTACAGACGGAACCAGATCACGGATTTTATGTAATGTGTTGAAACGGACCTGGATCTTGTGTTTATTCAAGATTTTGGAGATCTTTTTTGTGATCCCAGCAATGTAGGGTAAAGTGATGGTTTTGAAAGGCTCCTCAAGAGGGTTCTTCTTCATGGTTTGAGTGATAGCTTTGCGGATTGTATAGTCGGAGTAACCATTAGCCCTAAGAGCTTGGTGTACGTGCTTGAGTTCACTGCTTATGTGTTCCTGGTCGGATATGCATTGGGCTCTATGATACAGAGTCTTGATGAGAGAATTCTTCTGTGATGGATGGTGGTGGGAATCCGGTTTCAGATAAGCATCCGTATGGGTAGCTTTCCTGTAGACAGAGTGGCTCATTGAACCATCAGGTCTCTTTTTAATTAGGACATCCAAAAAAGGTATCTTGCCATCTATTTCGACTTCCATGGTAAATCTGATGGCTGGGTGTATGGAATTGATGTGGTCGAAGAATTGGTCTAGAGCAGGCCGGCCATGTGGCCAGATGACAAAAGTGTCATCCACGTACCTCTTCCATAAGGTTGGGCGCAGAGTGGCAGTCTGGATGGCGTCAGTCTCAAATTTCTCCATGAAAATGTTAGCTATAACTGGAGAAAGGGGGGAGCCCATTGGGGTGCCCTCAGTTTGTTTGTAGAAAGTTCCATTCCAAGTGAAGTATGTATTGGTTAAACAGTGTCTCACCAGGGGGGGTACCTCAGTGTTTAGTCCTTGATGAACCAAGTCTTCAATGATTGCAATGGTGTCAGGTACAGGAACCTTGGTGAATAAGGAAACTACATCAAAACTGACAAGCAGGTCGTCTGGGGACAGGGAAATACCCTTGATTGTTGATACCAGGTGAGTAGAATTTTGTACCGCAGAGGTGGTCTTTCCAGTGAAAGGACGCAGGATTTCAGACAAAAAACGAGCTAGTTTGTAGGTGGGGGAGCTGATAGTAGAGACTATGGGACGAAGAGGTGTATCAACTTTATGTATTTTTGGTAAGCCGTATAATCTTGGTGGCCTGGCAGCAGAAGGTTTCAATGAAAACTGTTTAGATTGATCAATTAATGCGGTTGAATCAGAAATTATTTTGTTGGTTTGTGTGACGAGGCTGTTGGTGGGATCTCTTTTTTTTTTTTTTTTTTTTTTTTTTTGTATAACTACCATCGTCGAGTAATTCTTTAATTTTGTTGTTGTATTCTATTTTATCCATGATAACAGTAGCATTGCCTTTGTCAGCTGAGAGAACTACAATATCATTCCTCTTTTTTAATTTATATAATTCAAAACGCTCATTTTTGCTGAGGTTGCTAGCTGGCATCTTAGCGTTTTTGAGGGTTGCAGCGATTTCAGATCTTGCTACGTCTGCAGCGATGTGACCCAGGCCCCTGAGAGCAACGTCTACTTGGGCAATTATATCATTAACTGGTATGTGTTTAGGTGTGACTGCAAAGTTTAGACCTTTAGCTAAAACGGATTTCAGACCATCGGAAATAGAACTGTTACTGCGATTAATTACGACTTTATTAACGTCTAACTTTTTGGTGTGTGGGTCCGGTCTTTTGTTGAAGAGGAGGTTAAATTTGGAAATCAGGTTTTCCTTACATTTGGTCGACATAGTAGCAGCTGAAGAGGCAGTCATATTGTCTACATGTTCCCAATCCGATGTGGACATTATTGCCGTCAATGATAAGTGTGATTTGTAGAGTGTCTTGTCTAACTGATCTAGTTCTGTGCGTATAAGTCTGATTTTTTCTGAGATAAGAGCTAAGCTAGTTTTGAAAAGAATTCGTTTCGCATTAGAAGAAGTTACAGTAGCAGAGGTGAGTGTAAATGCGATTGGTATTACCCCAGAGTCGCGGCATCTCTTCAGGAAGGTGAGAGACTCGATCAGCTGAGCTTTCTTATCCCGGAGTTTGTTGAAGGATCTTAAAGTTATGTGAAAACCCTCCCCGTAGAGGCGATTAAATTTTGATTTAAAGCTTTCGTGACTGCAGTAATTCATATTCTTAGTTTTTTTCGGTAAAGTCACGTTGAAGAGAAACAACAAAATAACAAAATATATATAAAACAATAAAAAATTCTCACGACGTTTCGACCATAACTCAAACGGTCATCATCAGGTGTGTCGGTTTGCATAAATTTATTTTGAAAACGGCATATTTATTTATATATATAAAAATAACGTTTGCGTCACGCGCAACGATTGGCTGTTTGCCAGGACTAGTCCATCTATTTTTTGAAAAGAGGAGGGGGGAGACGAAATTTGTTTTTATGTATGCTGTCTGAAAGCCACTGTAAGCGTGAACAATCAATCAAGAACTGAAATGATTTATCAAATCTTTCCAATGATTGCTAAGATAGAATCCATCTTCTCGGTTGAAATTGTCTCTGTGTTTGTATATGTGGATAGCCTCATGAACGAATCTCTCATGGAAGCCAGATGGCTTACAAAGAACCTCCGTCTTGGAAAAGTCAATGGCATGTGAGCCTACTGAATTAGAACAATGATCTGCTACGGCCGAGGTGTTGGTCCTACCGTGTTTAAGATCTGCTTTATGTTCACGAATGCGGTCCGAGATATGGCGTTTGGTTTCTCCAATGTAACTACTACCACAGAGGCAACTTAGTTTGTAGACACCAGGGTATTGTATGTCCGGAATCACATCTTTTACAGACGGAACCAGATCACGGATTTTATGTAATGTGTTGAAACGGACCTGGATCTTGTGTTTATTCAAGATTTTGGAGATCTTTTTTGTGATCCCAGCAATGTAGGGTAAAGTGATGGTTTTGAAAGGCTCCTCAAGAGGCTTCTTCTTCATGGTTTGAGTGATAGCTTTGCGGATTGTATAGTCGGAGTAACCATTAGCCCTAAGAGCTTGGTGTACGTGCTTGAGTTCACTGCTTATGTGTTCCTGGTCGGATATGCATTGGGCTCTATGAAACAGAGTCTTGATGAGAGAATTCTTCTGTGATGGATGGTGGTGGGAATCCGGTTTCAGATAAGCATCCGTATGGGTAGCTTTCCTGTAGACAGAGTGGCTCATTGAACCATCAGGTCTCTTTTTAATTAGGACATCCAAAAAAGGTATCTTGCCATCTATTTCGACTTCCATGGTAAATCTGATGGCTGGGTGTATGGAATTGATGTGGTCGAAGAATTGGTCTAGAGCAGGCCGGCCATGTGGCCAGATGACAAAAGTGTCATCCACGTACCTCTTCCATAAGGTTGGGCGCAGAGTGGCAGTCTGGATGGCGTCAGTCTCAAATTTCTCCATGAAAATGTTAGCTATAACTGGAGAAAGGGGGGAGCCCATTGGGGTGCCCTCAGTTTGTTTGTAGAAAGTTCCATTCCAAGTGAAGTATGTATTGGTTAAACAGTGTCTCACCAGGGGGGGTACCTCAGTGTTTAGTCCTTGATGAACCAAGTCTTCAATGATTGCAATGGTGTCAGGTACAGGAACCTTGGTGAATAAGGAAACTACATCAAAACTGACAAGCAGGTCGTCTGGGGACAGGGAAATACCCTTGATTGTTGATACCAGGTGAGTAGAATTTTGTACCGCAGAGGTGGTCTTTCCAGTGAAAGGACGCAGGATTTCAGACAAAAAACGAGCTAGTTTGTAGGTGGGGGAGCTGATAGTAGAGACTATGGGACGAAGAGGTGTATCAACTTTATGTATTTTTGGTAAGCCGTATAATCTTGGTGGCCTGGCAGCAGAAGGTTTCAATGAAAACTGTTTAGATTGATCAATTAATGCGGTTGAATCAGAAATTATTTTGTTGGTTTGTGTGACGAGGCTGTTGGTGGGATCTCTT